GGTCAATAAACAAAATAAAACAAAACAAAAAGAAGAGTAAATGGGCTTTTAGCGGTGCTGAAAACTTTCACCCTCAAGAAACACAAAAGACATAATACATTAATTTTATTCCAGAATCATATTAAAAATTATTTTGGGGAGTATGCCCCATAAAAGCAATAGTCATATCCAAAACACAGCTTAGCAACCCCAAACATCTCCCATCATAATAATAGAAAGAATGTATCCAGTAGGTATAGTATATAAGCCTGGATTACATTACAGGATTATAACTAGACAACAACAACAAATTTAACTATAAAGGAGATGCTGGTAGCCTGACACGTTTCACAATATGAGCTTCTTCAGGAGTTCACAGGGTGCAACTGGATATGGAATACAAAATCATCTCTACAAAAATGGATATAACGAACTGGTGGAGACCCCAAAATGTGCAGCTGCAGAAATAGAGGGCAAAGATAGTAAGGTGTGGCATAGCACCCAACTACAAAAATGGAAAATCAAAAGCAACAGCAGCTTCTCTCACAGAGAAAAATACCTTAAGCGCAAATATGGAGACATTTGTCTGCCATTTTTTGTTGGCAGTTGGAGAGCACATATCCATATATTTGCACCTAAGGTGTTTTCTCCGTGCCTGAGAATAGAGTGCTGGCAAGGACCCCAAAAAGAAGAGGAGGCTCAAGGAAGAGCAGGTAAGTTTAATATGTTTATTCATTTTAGAAAAAAAAAACCTTTACAACTGCTGTCATCTCATCATCTCTGGTCTGGTATTAATGTTTTAGTATACTCTATGGAGTCTAGAGTTTTTGAAAATATTGTATGTTATTGATATTTTATCAGTACCCATAGAGGTAACTGCAACGGGAATCAAAGGGCTGAGGAGGGTTTAGTGTGTTCACCTTTTAATCTTAACTTTTTCTGGAAAGGCAAACACTTTAATGTAAGGAGTATACACCAAGCATCCCAAAGCACTTGACAGGCATCAGGAATACAAGTCAAATTCTGTTTTTTTATTTCCATGATCACAACAGAAGAGTGACAGTGCTGAATCTCAAGTGAAGTCTTGTTTGCCACTGATTAGTGTGTTATTATATAACTTGGAGTGTGTTAGGCACTAGGCATACTGATCATATACACACAATATATATATATATATATATATATATATATATATATATATATATATATATATTGAATTGTATCTGAATACCTTTGTTTTGTCTCAGTACATAGGTACCCTTCAGGTGACACTGGCTATAAAGTCAAACAATGCTTGTTTGAATTCACTGACTTTTTAGCAAAAGTAGTGACAGTATTTTTTCCTGTAGGTCCCAACATCTTTATGTGTCCCTGCCTGCTCTCCTGGGTTTTGGAAAGCTTCAAGAAAGGGAAGTCCAGGATGCTGCTACGACTGTGTGCCGTGCTCTGAGGGAGAGATCGCCAATGTCTCAGGTGAGCTGTACTTTGCTATTGTTATAGCTCCTAAAAAGGAAAGCTGAGCACATAGTTCTGTCAATTCTTTTGCTTTTAACCTCCCTAGCAGTCTGATTATGTTCATATTTCTCTGCTCAAACCGGTACATTTTTTTGCATGGAAATATGTATTTTTTTTTATTATAGGCCTGTAATTTTTAGGAATAACTCACTGAAATCTGTCCGAACAAGAGTCTAGTAAACATCCCGGGTATGATAAATCTTGAAACACAAAATCATAAATTATAATTGAATAATTTAATAATCATAAAAAATAATAATAATAAATATAATTCAATAATATAATCAAACCAAAAGCACTGAAATTTGAAATATAGCGCCAAGTTCGCACATCACTGAGCAAAGTCGCAAAATCGTTTTCAGTGTCTGATGACGAATTTCCCCACAAATCATTATCACTCAATGCTGCAAGTAGTTCTAATTTACTATCGCTGTTCTCTAGCTGGTCTAAAACCGGTTTTGACCTAAAGGGACGCTTTTTCGACGCCATGGACATTTCTCAGTTTCTAGGCAGAAAGAACAGTAAAAATGCAGGCAGGGCACAGGACAAAGCACTCGGGACAAAATGTATGTGAAATGCTTTGATACAGTAATGTTTTACTATGTTATTTTAGTGAATGTCACTTTTTATCATTTTCAAATTTCCCGCCGTTCCGTCCCCCCCCCCGTACGTCCCGACGTCGCAGGGGACGGAACCCAGAAGACAAATGCTGGCATCCGCCGGAGGACATTACAGGGGACACTGCAGGAGGGACATCGCAGGAGCGCAGGACAAGGTAAGAGAAGAACAGGTCCCGTTGCAGCGCCGCATGGTATTCCCAAGTGTAGCTCGGGGTTACCGCTTGTGGTACTGAAACTTTACCCCGAGCTACACTCGGGAATACCGCCAGGGAGGCTACTAGATTATGCAATTTTCTCTCTCTCTAACACAGGTGGAGAGAAAGAAAATTGCTTGAACCATCAACACAGTCAGTGCTGATGGGGGAATCCCTTGTGCAGGGCTTTCCTGTTCTGTCGGAGGGGATCCTTCCCTGTCAATAGCACACAATGAATAATGTTGCTGGCAGCACTAATCATTCCAAAAAAACCTGACAGGCTGTTTGTACACAAGTCAATTGATAGATCTACTTGTGTACAACCAGGGTGCTATACATGGATCAAAACTCAGCTAGTCCCTGCTAAACGAGTCGAATTTCAATCCATGTATAGCCGGCTTAAAATTCTCATTTTGTAATGACTTTCCCTTCACAGAAAAGAGCGATCATAGCTGATGACGTTAACCTTGAAGAAAGTTCATAGTAAAAAAGAAAAAAAAAAGGGGAGGTGATAGATAAGGGTTGTGTTAGGAAGGTGGACCAAATTTAGGGCACATTTAGTTTTTAAAGGCTTATTTTATATACCTCTGTACCCATCACCCCATTCAGCTGTCAGCCAAAAGCTAAATATAACAGAGGATACAGGTGATGTCATTACCCAAATATGACCAATATTAAAAAATTACTTGTCATTGGGTGGGTGGAGCTTGAGGGGGAACGGAGAGACTAGTCCTCCATCAGGTCTGCTTTACTTTTGATTGACAGTGTGTGGCAGTAGGTGGAAAAAAAATCTTGGGGCTACTATGCCTAGGAGAATGGAACCAGAGAGTTGAGGAAAAAACACTGTTTTGTGGAACAAGGGCTGTGCTGCTGCGCTTATTCATTGGCTGCTCTTGCTGGAGGGACTGCCAATCAGTTGCAATAGCTGTGTTCTGTAATGAAGAGACCCACAAGTTATGGGAGAGGACTTCTGTGCCCATAACATTTAAAGCTTTGCTGGGAATTGCAGCAACCGTAATCAGAGCCATTATCATCACCATCAGAGTCTGCAGAAGGCCACTTCATCATGCGTCCAGTGTTTCATAAACCCATGAGAGGGAAGAGGCTCCACTGTGAACTTCTGAGAGGTTGCTGGCTACCATCTGTGCTGTTCTATTTGTTTTTGAAGATAACTTCCCTTTCTTTTTCAGAGTGCTCCAATGCAGTTTTGGGCCCCAACAAATTATATTACTGGCCAGTGGGAGGGAACAAAGAGAGACTGTGACTATTAGCCCTTGAGTGAATAAATATCCTGTATTAAGGGCTCCCCAATAAGTTTGTGTCCAAAGGTACGGTATTGCCTGAAGGGTAATTATCATCAGGAACAAAGAAACCCAAATCATCAAGTGGCTCCTTTGGGAATGTTGCTTCACATGTATGCTAAACTATACTGCTCATAGCTCATATCTCAAACTATTGGCTGGTTTTGCTATCAGGTTGATTTTAAAGACAACACTTGAACTTACTATACAATTATTTTAGAATATGCACATCTCTTCCTTGCACAGGCCCTTTATTTTTGAATTAACATGGAATTAGGAAAATAAGATCATTAACATTCCAAATGAAGGAACAATTGATTAAAAAAGTATTCTTCAAAGCACAAAAGACCAAAGGGTTCATGTCATTACCTGACTTTACAAATGCTCTTTTGGCTGAATAGGCTGAACCAATTTAATAGCTTGTGGAGTATAGGATGTTATAGCAGCAAGGGGAATGGGATGGATAACAAATCCATGGTGATACCATTGGTTTTGGAATTTTGGAAGTACAACAAGCGCATATGAGTGTAATGGTCAGGGGTCCAATTATTTTTGGCCATCTATAGAGTGTAAGAGGATGTTAATCAAATACTTCAGTATATAGGTGTTGAAAATAATTATTATGCACTAAAATTATATATTGTACTGCAAATGTATTGTTGGTTGTCAGTATTTCTAGAGACATGGATCGTGGTTAGTCAGCATGGATGAACACCGGAACTGTAATTTGAAGGCAGCTCCTTTACTGCAGTACAGAAATAAACAGTATGTAGGAAAATATAGAATGGAAATCTAGTAGGCACCTTTCACATAGGAGATCCGATTAGGTCCGCCTGTCAGTTTTTCAGGAAGACCTGGTGGAAAGGTCCATGCATTTCTATGGACACTTGGGTGTAAAAAGATTTGTGTGCATTTACACCCACATACCTTCAGGTCTGATTCGGTCCATTACAAAAAAATCTGAAGGGGATCTATAAATGGACAGTAGGGTTTGTTTATATCTGGCCACCCATAGAGCAGAGTGGGTTATAGAACCTGAGAGGACATGGATGTGTAATCTGCCTGCTCTGCTCGAATCAGCAGGGAATCTGTAAAAGATACCTTATTTTTAATCATTTGCCTACCAGGCACTTTTACCCCCTTCCTGTCCAGGCCAATTTTCAGCTTTCAGCGCTGTCACACTTTAAATGACAATTGTGCAGTCATGCAACACTGAACCCAAACTAAGTTTTTATAATTTTTTTAAGACAGATACAGCTTTCTTTTGGGAATATTTAATCATCTCTGGATTTTTTATTTTTTGCTAAATAAAACTAAAAAAAACACAACATTTTTGAAACTTATTTTTCTTATTTACAATATTTTATAACAGAAACTAAGTAATTTTTCTCCTTCACTGATGTGTGCTGATGAGGCTGCACTGATAGGTGGCATTGATAGACAGCACTAATAGACGGCACTGACAGGTACTAACAGGCATCATTGATGGACATTGAAAGACTGTACTAATATATGGCATTGATGGGTACTGATAGACTGCACTGATGGGCATTGACAAGCATCACTGATGGGCACCTAAAGGCAGCACTGATAGGTGACACTGATGGGCACTGATAGACTGCACTGATGGGCATTGACAGGCATCACTAATGGGCTCTGAAAGGCAGCTCTGATGGACACTGATATTTGGCATTGATGGGCACTAAAAGACTGCATTGATAATCAGGGCACTGATGATCAGTGCCTTGGTTATCAGTGTAGATGTCCCCTTTAAGGAATGCAGCTTACTGGCTCTATGCTCGATACCCGGCATTCCTGTTTACATGTGAGCAGCTGTGATTGAACACAGCTGATCACATGGTAGAGCCTATGTCCTCTGCTCTTTACCGTGATCGGTGGTTTGCTGTGTCCTAAGGAAACAGCGCACCTAAAAGTGAACAGAATAAGAGAGCTCCCTCCCGCCTGTCCGTCATTTCCCTATGCGGTGGGCAGGAGGTGGTTAAACACAATCAAACATAGAGTTGTACGTGATTCACAATGTCTCCACTCAAGAATTGTGTTTGTAAAGTTGGCAAAATAAGTTTGGTGGTTTATGAAAGTTGCATTTCCTATTTCCCTGTGATTCATCATTCTAAAAATTTACGGTGGGCAGGAGGTGGTAAACACAATCAAACAGAGTTGTCCGTGATTCACAATGTCTCCACTCAAGAATTCTGTTTGTAAAGTTGGCAAAATAAGTTTGGTGGTTTATGAAAGTTGCCTTTCCTATTTCCCTGTGATTCATCATTCTAAATTTTCTGCATCAAATATTTCTGTCTTCAGACTTTCTCTATTCATTGTAGAGTGAACGGAGAGTTATGTTTTGTTTCTTTCCTATTAGATATGGAAAATTGCATCAAATGCCATGATGATGAGTGGGCGAATGAGAGAAGAGATAAGTGCATCACACGATCCATCGACTTCTTGTCATATCAAGAACCTCTTGGCTTCACCTTATCTTTATCAGCCATTCTACTATCCATCATTGCAGCAATAATTCTTGGAATCTTCATTAAATACAGGAACAGTTCCATAGTGAAAGCAAATAATCAAGAGCTCAGTTACATAGTACTTGTGTCACTCATAATGTCACCACTTTGTATACTTTTGTTTATTGGTCCCCCAATGAAAATCACATGCTTGGTCAGACAAATTGCATTTGGTATGGTTTTTTCTATAAGCATCTCATCTGTTCTTGGGAAAACAGTGACTGTTGTTATTGCATTTAACGCTGTAAAACCTGGAAGCTGTTTAAAGACCTTTCTTGGACCCAAAATTCCGAGGTTCATTGTTCTCCTCGGTTCTTTAGGAGAAGTTATAATTAGTATTGTGTGGTACTCTATTCCCCCTCCATTTCCTGATCATGACTCTAAATCCATGCCATCAGTAAAGATATTAACATGCAATGAGGGATCCTCGGTTGCATTTTATGTTCTTCTAGGATACAATGCATTATTGGCATCTGTTTGCTTTGTTATAGCCTATCTTGCTCGCACATTGCCAGACAGGTATAATGAAGCCCAGCACATCACTTTCAGCATGCTGGTCTTCTGCTGTGTCTGGATCTCTTTCATACCATCTTATCTGAGCACCACAGGGAAATACACAGTGGCAGTTGAGATATTTGCCATTTTGGCATGTAGCTCTGCACTTTTAATCTGTATATTTATACCAAAATGCTATCTTATTTTATTGCAACCTGAGAGAAACATTAAAGAAAAGTTGTTTTCCTTATAATGGGATAGATATTAATGGATGTTTTTGGAAACTAAAAACACCCTCTGTTAAATACAATTTTTTGTCCAGAAGAGCAATGTGCACATTCAATGTTTGTTGACATTTCATGTTATTTAACCACTTGCCCTCCAGGAGGATTTAACCCCGCCCCCTTCCTGACCAGGCATTTTTTTTTGCGTTACGGCGCTGCGTTACTTTAACGGACAATTGCGCGGTCATGCAACACTGCACCCAAATGAAATTTACATCCTTTTTTCCCATGAATTGAACTTTTGGTGGTATTTGATCGCCTGTGCGGTTTTTATTTTTTGCGCTATAATTTTGAGAAAAATAAACAATATTTTTGACTTTGAATATGTCCAGTAAAAAAGTTTAAAAATCAAATTTCGTCATAAATTTAGGCCAAAATGTATTCTGCGACACGTTTTTGCTAAAAAATATCCCAATGTGTAAATTAATTGGTTTATTTCAAAGTTACAGCATTTACAAATGGCGGCATATATACACTGGGATTTTTTTTTTACTAGTAATGGCGGCGATCAGCGACTTATGGTGGGACTGCAAGACTGCGGCGGGCATTCTGACACTGAAGGGGAACTGACTAACTGCCATTGACATCCCCAGTGACATTAATACAGTGATCAGGGCTAATAAAAAGCACTGATACTGTACATATGGCACTGGGCTGGAAGGGGTTAACATGAGGGGTGATCAGTGGGTTAACTGTGTGCTGTTTTACTATAATCTGTTTGCGTCACTTTAAGCACCCTGCTTTGCATAGCCATGCAAAGCAGTGTGCAGGAGCTGACAGGGCGGAGAACGGTTTTGTTTACAAACAGTTCTCTCCATTGGAGATGCTCAGCAATCACTGGCCGTTACCTGGTAATTGACAGGCACCTCCGTGAATGGCGATATGAGTAGGGCTCGCACGCCCCCTACCCAGAAATATATATATACACACACATTCACGTGTCTTTGCTCACCCATGCCGCCCTGTAGCAGTATTTCTGCTATAGGGCGGTCGGGAAGTGGTTAAATATCTAGTCTGTTTGCTTGAGGTATATTCTTAAATGAAAAATTATTTCCAATTTGTAAATTGTATGCAAATATTACTAAAAAAAATAAAAAATTACATGCAAGAAGGTCTTAATTTAGCGTGGGAGAATAAATCTTTCTGAAATTCTTTGTCATGTATAAAATTTTTATCAAATTTTATTTTAACTGGTGTGTGTACACAATTTATAATATACAGTATATTTGTGATCAGTCATAACATTTTGCCCATGAACAGGTAAAACAAATAACATTGATTATTTTGTTACAATGGCATCTGACAAAGGGTGAGATATATTATTAAGGAGCAAGTAAACATGTCACTGAAATTGATGTGTTGAAAGCAGAAAAAATGGGCACGCATAAGGATTTGCGCATCTTTGACAAGAGTCAAATTGTAATGGCAAGACAACAGAGCAACTCCAAAAGTGCAGCTCTTATGGGATATTCCCAGTCTGCACTGGTCAGGACCTATCAAAAGTAGTTTAAAAAAGGGAAACGGTGATAGAGTCATGGGTGGCCAAGGCTCATTGATGCACGTGGGGAGCAAAGGTTGTCCTGTTTATTCCATTCAATAGAAGAGCTACTGCAGCTCAAAATACTGAAAAGATAGTAAGGCATCAGAATACATAGTGCATCACAGTTTTTGCTTATGGGGCTATGTAGCCAAGATCAGTTAGGGTGCCCATGCTGACCCATGTCCACATCTAAAAAAAAACTACTACTGTTGGCATGTGAGCATCAGAACTGGACCATGAAGCAAAAGGATGAAGGTGATGTGGTCTGATTCCAAGAATGGTTTGCGGAACACAACAATAAGTTCAAGGTGCTCATTTCAAATGCCTCCATATTTTCCAGATCTAAATCCAAATCGAGCACATCTGTGGGATGTGCTGGAAAAACAAGTCTGATCCATGGAGGCCTCACCTTGCAACTTACAGGACTTGAAGAATCTGCTATTGATTGCTTGGTGCCAGATACCACATCATGCCTTTGTAGCACCCTTCTAGTTAAGCTGCTAGGTAAATTAAATTTTTGGCTTCTAAATCAGAGGAGAAGTAATTGTTGGGTCTGGTCTGTTCAAGGCTGCACAGGCTGAAAATGTGGCTGCTCCCCCTGCCTGTAGAAGAAGTTTGTAGAGCGTAATGAGGGAAAATTCAAATGACCAGCTTGCATGTTGAGCAGGGCCTAGCCAATACTTGGAGTAGCCTCTGGAGCCCTGAGTAGAGTACTACAAGCAACTAAGCCGGTGTGGTGCATTGTGTTGCCAAAAAAGGGCAAGGTTTGGCTTACATGCGCCGATTCTCTTTGCTAATAAAAGGGCTGTCTTAAAGGATAAATTCACCTTTGAGAACGGGTTACATGTTCCACTTGTTTTTAGGCTAGGTTCACACCTATGCAGTTTGCGTTTGATCCGTTTCTGCACTGCATTTTGCATTGCGTTTTTGCACATGCATTTTTGCTGCGTTTTGCAGGGTTTTTTTTCTTTGTTTTTTTCTTGTTCCAGATTTAAAAAACATGAAAGGCATCAACAACGCACTACATGCTTTTCTGCAGTGTTTCCATTGAAGTCGAAGTAGGATGATGTGCTATGATCTGCGTAAGGCTAGGTTCACACCTATGCAGTTTGCGTTTGAGCCGTTTCTGCATTGCTGTTTGCTTTCTTGCACTTGCTTTTTTGACACATTTTTGATGCGTTTAGTGGGGTTTTTTTTTAATTTTATGTTTCTTGTTGATAGGCAGATTTAAAAAGAAAAATGCAGCAAAAAAAAAAAAAACGCACTACATACTTTTCTGCAACATTTCCATTGAAGTCTATAGAACCAAAAATCAACTTTTGCTTTAAAAAAAAAAAAAAAGTCCCTGACCCTTTACAAAAAACCCACCGGATGAAAAACGCAGAGATGTCTCCCATAGGAAATTATGCTAAATGGACTGTAGTGCATTTCTGCAAAAAAAAAAAAGTGGAAACCGCTTGGGCGTGAACGTAGGGCAAGGGTGGAACATGTTTCTGATCCTGCAGCCTTCACCTGCTGCAACTCTGTGATAGAAGTTCCCCCGTACTAACTGTCAGATTTCAAAGCAGCGCTCTACCCACACGTCTGCATCGTTCATTCACAGTGTTCTGTGAATGAATGAACTACAAGTCCCAACAACTTTAGTGGCTGACGGCTTGTAGTCCTCAATGAACTACCATGGTGCTGTGGCAATTCATTGATTCTTCCAGTCAGCAAGTATCAGCTTGCCCATACAGGATGTACAAGCAAGCAGATACACTGACAATGTGCAGGAGATCTGCATGGCATCAGCTACCTGCTGATCGCTGATGCAAAGCCTTACAGGCTCCTAACACAAAAAATAATAAATGCACTTTTTTTTACTTGCAAAAAAATGTAGATGTGTTATTTTTGTGGACAGTTGAACTTTACTGCAA